ATCTACAAAAAATTTTCCCAACGCAAATGTCTCAAACCTATATAAGACCCCTCGACCAACAGCGACCAAATACGAGCCCCCGCCCTCTCAGCCGAAAAGTACGACCCCCTATGCGTTCCACACAACGATACTGTATGCTGATGATAAGTCCAAGTCCGCCTGTTCGATCAGGGTGGATTGTGTCTTGAGAGAGAAAACCAAAGTTACTATCTTGTTCGCTGCTGATAGTGGGGAGTGTCAAGGGGGAAGGGGATGTTTTTGGTGCGGCGCCAGTACATTCTCTTTCTTTTTCTTCCTTTCGGCAAGAGAAGCGACTGTAAAACGCCCTTTGTGTGCGGAGCCGTTCTCCAGCAGTTTTTGCCGCTTGTCCTCTTCATCAACTGATGGAGAACGGGCTGGCGGCGCCCTGATTCCACATCCCTTCATCCGCAGCGAACAAGACTGTATGTATATTCTATTTTATGCTGCATAGCAGAACTAATTTTGGAAAAATGTAGGCTCACCAAGTGCGTTCATTAAACTGCTTTTGCCAGTGTTTGGCCGACCGAGAATGACAGCTCGCAGTCCCCTGTGAACAATCTCAGCTCCCTTGGCGCGCTGTTCCAACCGCAGAACCTCCTTCAGGATAGGGAAGAGACGTTCACTGGAAAGGGTTGGATAAATGCGATGGTATGAAAAAGATCGAATCCCATATCTCGGTCTCAAAGGGAAAGACTGTAAGTGCTCTTAGACAGCTGCCGGTGTAGGAAATATGTAGGCATAAGAAAAGATGAAAAGCCTTCTGGAAAGGAGAAGTCCTCTATTTCCACCGTTCTTGGTTTCACAAGCAGTCACAAGTGAAGAAAGTTAAATATGTCAGCATGAAAAATTGTAGATAGCACTAAATTTCAACAACGATGTCACAACAGGGATATTTACCAAGAAAAAAGATGTTTAGAACCCTGAGCTTCACAACCTCTGAATGCCTTCTTGTTCAATATCATCTCACTTTCCTTGAGCAGTCGCCGAGTCTCTCTTTAGGTATCCTAATTAGCAGAAATTGGCGCCAGTTTGGCGGCGGGGATGAATGGGGATGGAGGGCATTTTGCACTTTCGCTGCTTCACTAGTTCCGGTTTACAAGTCTCACTCTGGTGAAACCTGTGAACTCTTGTGAAGCTGGAGCAAGCTCGTCGAGCCACCATGGTAGAACCTTTCAACTTCTAAATGGGACGACACCTTGATGGAATGTAGCAAAAGTGCAAAATCCCCCTCCCCCGTTGCCGAACTGCCCCGCAGAAATTTCATTCAACGCGATGGCGTGCCCCGTGCCGTAGCCAATGACGCGGACAACCACCGTTCAACCCTTAACCTGGTGTTGCTTTGAACGACAACAATTGTCCTTCCTGGGTCTTGAGAATCGCTAGGAGTTCTGAATACTAGTTTTCCGGATTCTGAATCTGACTAATCATAATACAATAAAAATAGGTAAAAGCATTGAAGAACAAGTGAGACGATAATTTTCAGAAGTTTATAAAATACGAGCAAACATGAACAACTGTGCTGCTTTCAAAAGTATTAGGTGTTCGGGTCTTGCGTGCTGTATTCAGAAGAACGTTTCGAAAAGCGAGAAAAGTCTCACCGTAAGTCATCCAAGGAGGTGCTCACATGCTCACCGAAATCCATGAGTACAAAGGCACGCATCATTACATCTGACAGCATATCTCTGCAAAATTTCGTAACGAAACCTAAAGGCTAATTGTGCGTCAGCCTGCTAAGTGGTTCTTTGCGATCCTTGCCGTGTGCGACGCGAATGGGTAGCAGCAATAGCCTGCCACTTTCACCATTCAAAAGTTGCAGGAGAGCGGGGATGGAACGTTGTGATACCTTACTGCCCCTTTAGAAACCTGCCTCCGCTATGCTCACGGTGCAGCACTTGCGCCGATACTCGCAAGGAATGCGCAGTCAGAGGCAGAGGACGCGAGAGGATGCGGACCAGCGTATGCCCAAGTTTGAGCGCGTGACTTGGCCCGCAGCAGTAGAGGTGGCATCTAAAACGGCTCCCTGGTATAATCGCCATACAGCCTGATTCCCGTGCACTTTTGAGCGGAGAAAGTGGCACGCTACCGAAGTTGCGGAATCTGTCTTGTGAACTCACCGTACACGACGTGCTTCTGCGCCTCCTCTCATCTGACCATAGGACATCTGCCGTTGGCGCTGTGTTTCAGCGTTGATCAGATTCCGCAATCCATATACTTCATGTAAGTCCATTTTTCCGTTGAAGAAGGCTCTTTAAAAAAAGCAGTGTAACCGTGAGAGGGATAACAAATGTTGATTCAAGAGCAAACAAAAGGTAAAGGGCATAGATTTCGGGGACAGACCCTGAGCCCTCAGTCTCCATCATTTACCGGTGGCACTATCCTCCTTCTCCACCCAACTATTAGGTTGTCCGGAAAGTTCTTAGCGTTTTGGGTGTTT